GCTATCCCTCAGAATGTTATTTGCATCCAGGTAATCTACCATTTTCACTGTAGCTTCCATGCTATAGGACATGTAGAGTAGGACATGGTGTAACCCAGGCTAGTGCAAATCAGCTCATGAATCCAGTGTTATTGCAGCTGTCATTGTGACAATAATAGTTAAATATTTTTGTGCTGTTTACTATCATAAGTCTGTATGGTTTTTGTTCACTTCTTTAGGTGTGTTATCCTGTTTAGTATAGTTGTATTTTTAAATGCAAGAGGTAAAGCCTTAACTATTGTGTTTTTTTGTCAAAAAAAAATTTTTTTTTCATTTTCATTATAATTTCATAAATTATATTTAAATTGCTAGCTAGGGCTTGCAGATGTCTTCTGTTAAGAAAATGGGTAAAGCATCTGGCACTTCTGATGAGTAGTATGTGCTTGTGGGGCTGGGTAGAAGTACCTAAAACAGACACACAGAACAGTAAATGTGTGAAAAGTACGCTGCTGTTATGAGGTCAAAGGGGAAAACTGCAAATTTGTATCACAGCCCTCGACATTTAACCATTTATATCTACCTGGCAGGTGCTTTTCTATCATTGAACCTCCCAGTCAGGGAATCAAATCCCAGTCTCCCAAGTAACAGGTGGGGATACTAACCACTATACTGACAGGGATCATCGTGTCGCGTCACAGCTGTATCAAATATAGATCAGGGTTACAACATACCGTGGCAAATTATTGCCATATGATCCCATATGTTCTTTGTGGGGCTGGCATCATCTCAGCCTATCGCAGCTATTACTCAGCACAATCTCAGCAATATTTTATTGCCCAAATAAACAACTATTATACTTGGAAACAAGCCAAAAAAATGTTACGTGAGTGACAATATGTAATACCAACTTTATGGAAAGGAATAAGCACGAAATCACTTATAATGAGCAGACTTGGCGACACTGAACCCAATACAGTTTTATAGTCCCTAAATGAGGCTGCAAACATTATAGATGCCATGTGTCACGATCCGCTCCAAACGATCCTCGTGTGTGCCACGCCCCCTCATTACTTCATGTCAACTCCTGATCGTTCCCACCTGTGTCTAGTTAATTCCAGCCTGTCCCCTGTACTTAGTCCGCGTCCGAGTCCAGTCCCGTCAGATCAGTCATTGTGTTGTCCTGTTGTTCATGGATGTCTGCCTTTCCCTGCCCAGCAAAACCCCTGTTTACCCGCATCACCACCTCTCCGCTTCTCCACTTGCCCGCTCCACGCACCCTGACACCATGACTCAGTCAAGGCAATATACAACTCGATGGAGAATTTATGCAAGAAAAATGCATTCCACAGATGAGCACAAACTTCAGCACAGGGCTTCAGTTCAGGTTATATAGTATTCAAAACTGCCAGTGAACCAATAGTGGGTCCCTGTGGGGAGTGAAGCCTCGTTTGTTACCAATCACGTGATTCTTTGGGAATGATTCAAGCCTCAAAGCAAGGCTTCATCTGAAACTGTCCTTCATACTCGACACGCTTCTGAGTCTCAGCTTCAAGTGTCCCATCACTAATAATTAGTTAATAATTATATAACTAAAAATCCAGTATTTGAAGATGACGGAACTGGTAACAGTGTGGTCACATGCAATACCTATTGGCAGGGCCAGTCCTAACCAATCTTGCGCCCCAGTTGAACATTAGTTCCAGCGCCCCCCCATAAATTGCCTGGTAAATTGGTGATCCCTCAGAAGTTAGTACCCTAGGAGGCTGTCTGGGTCCCCTATAGGATTGACGCAAACCTAAATGTCATTTTCAACTAAGTTCCAGAAACTTCGTCAGCTGAAAAAGTAAGAATTTTAAATGTCACGATTTAAAATGACAAAACTGAGCATATATTTCAGTCACTACGGTAAGAGCTGATGGCCATGGAAACACGGTATCACTTACAGATGGTGCTAAGCTGTAAATCGGTGGGGCTCCTCTGCAGCAGGATGCTTATGGTCTCCTTGAAAAAAGACAAGGTAGGAGTCATGATAAGTGCCACCATGAGCAAGGTGAGCAAGGGGTCCAGGTAGCACTGCCAGTTGCACTGCTCTTTCTTCTCCAGCGGCAGCGCGTAGAACACAGCAGAGGTGACCACCACCACCACGGAGCCTAGAGCATCATTCAGGACATGGAGCAGGACTCCTGCATGTGCAGGGGAGATGGAAAGGGAACAGGCATGGGTTAATGCAAGAGGAGACAGGCACCGTGGCATAGGGAACAGCTCTGAGAGGGGAGGTGGTGGTGCTGAGATGCAGGATTGCTTTATTGGCTTAACGGGAGCCATGCTACTGATGGGTGAACTTTCGCACCTCGGATATTGAGCGGCTGACTCCTTTTTTCCTCTCCCTTCTGGTCGGTGATGCCGTCATGCAGAACCGGGGCACCTGTGTACCAACGAGACAGGCGGTGTGTGTGTATGCGCTCTGCCTAAGAGAGGGCGAGAGACTTAGCGACATGATGCACCGACGGCACCGTTGTCCGGGGAGCTGAATATGCTCATTAACGTGGCTTGAGAGGAGGCTGTGTGTGATAGGGCTGCAATGTATGTAGTAGCCATATAGTCCAGAGTGTGAAATGCACATATTGTCCATTTAATTTATACTGCACAGCAACATGCCAATGCGCTCTGTCTCACCACTGCACTCGATGACCTTTTCTCAGTGAGGTCCTCTAAATGGGAAAAGCTGCATTTACAATGCTGAATTATTATACATGAATTATGACAACAAGCCATGACGCTGCAGAATCATGCTGCTCGGCTTAGTTATTTCATTGTACTCATTCAAAGGATATCCAATTTATCAAAGGATATCCAATTTATCAAAGGATCCAATTTAACGACCACCTTGAGAGCTGTCAAATGTATGTAAACTAACTCACAAAAGAATAAAGCATTTAAATAAGCACAAAGTTACTATATACAGTATTTTCAGATAGACATTGGGCAAGTAGGATTTTTACTCATATGTACAGCATTTCCCAATCACGTTTCCACGGTAACTTGAAATATAATATTGTTTTGTAAAATACCGTTACATCTATATTTCCTCATGAAAGGCTTTGAATCAGATGCATGTATCTTGCAAAGAAATTGAAATGCATTTAGTAATGTCCTATATAGAAGTACATTAATACGTATATTTCAAAATACCTGCTTTGTTCTCCTCATCCTTCTGTTTAGTTTCTTGTGCTGCCCCTTTGCAACTTGTTTGTCTTTGCCGCCCCTTCCCACGGCAACAGCAGCTAAAGTCCTGGAATAGAAACAGGCCACCTACGTTGACAGCTAGACCCAGCGCACCTACGATCAGCACCAGCATAGGGTCGTCAATGATGTCCGGATCAGCCAGCCTCTGTAGGGCTTGAAGTGAGACAGATAAGCAAAGTGCGGCAAGGAACACAGCGTTGGCCAAGGCCCCGACCACCTCAGCCCTGGGCAGCCCGTAGGTGCTGCGGCTGGATGGGGGTCGGCGTGACAGGCGGATCGATGTAAGACCCACAATGAGTGACAGAAGGCCCGACAGCATGTTGTATGCATCCGACACCAGCGCTATAGAGTTTCCCATGTATCCGGCTATAATCTCTGCAAAGAAAATCACCACCGCAAGAACGATCATGAAAATCAGGCGGCACGTCTTCCCAGTGTAGCGCCCCATTGATGCCGATGCAGATGGCTTTTTAACTTGAGTTATCTCAGTGCGTCCTCTTCCCGAGTCTTAGCTTTATCTGTTGCTGGGGGAATAAATGGATGGATAATGGTACAGATGTACGCGCTGTCAAATTACTGAGTTTACTGTACTGATTTTCTTTCCTTTTCTTGATTGAGCAAAGGTGTCTTCCTGTAGTTCGTCTCAGATGCACAGTCACTTTTTTCCCTTTTGCTTTCAGAATTTCCGTAGAAACTGCTAAGTCATATTTCATCAAGAGACTTGAAGTTGCAAATCGGCTAAAGAAAAAAAATACTGATTGCTGCAATAACGTGATCCTTCCTGTCAAAATATATGTTTTAAGAACACTGGTATGACCAGTCCAATAAGTAGTCACTTGCGAGGATTCTCTGATCACTGGTCTACCACTGAACCTTAAACAATTTAACAGTGCATAAAAATCTTACGTGTCATTGTCTGATATCAGATGAATTTACAAGCATTTTACAATTAGACATGAATGCCTCTATTAAATTATGGTTTATGATGTGTCTCATTTCTTGTTAGGGTAAATTATTAACAAGCTGTCTTTGTGGTCTGTTAGCTTACGATTCAGAGGTGGAGCCAACCGCAGATTGTACAGTTTATAACAGACAGACACTACAAACAATCCAAAAGGGACCAGGCAAACCAGAGTTGGTGATCACAGCATGAAGGCAAATGGAAGTCAGAACACGGGAGACAGCACAAAATCAAAGTTGCAAGACACTAATAAAGAAAACCCCAATGGCAACTCAAAACTAAGTAGCAATCTATCGCCACCATAGGGTTTAAATGACTGTTCTGATTAATGGGGATCTAATTTTGGGTGTGTTGGTGTCAGAGTTGTAGCTTCTATTCAGTCCACAATCAATGGCTGGTGGGTCATGATCAAGTAGAGAGCCCCCCCCCCCCCCCAGGGTACCTGAATGGCTCCAGTGGAAGACAGAGGTGAGTGACTAGTTGAGGATGAATGATGAATCAGGACATAAGCTTGTTTAAGTCTGTCTTGAGCGGCGAGCCAGACATTTTCTCCCTACTCTGAACAGGTAACTGACAACGATTCCAATTCAATGAATGTTCATTTAGTTTGCTATCTTGAGGATTTTTCTCCGGGCAGTGGCCTGCATGCATCAACAGCAATCCACTGTGGCATGAGTAGGCATGGCATGAGAGAGTCTGTAGATTGTGGGACCTGACCCAGAAATGAATGAGCTTGTAGTCTGTCTGGACTTCAAAAGGTGACATTCTAAGACTTGTGAAGAGTTTCATGAGCTCGTTCAGCCCACATGAGGTGGTCCGTCCTGGTGTTGGAGAGGAAGTAGCAGAAACACTGGCCCAGGTCTAGTTTAGTTCTCCACCTGGTCATTGGTTTGCAGGTGGTATTCAGAAGACAGGAAAGAGGAGAATCCCAGGAAGTTAGTGAATGCCTTCCAGAATGCCACAATGAAGTACATTCCCCCATCTGTCACCATGCCAATGAAGTGGGAAGCCTTGCTGAAACGGTCAATAATGACAGTTATCTGACCACTGGAGGGAGGTAATCCAGTGACAAAATCTATAGTTTAGTGGGGCTAAGGATGAGCTGGAACTGGGAGTGGAATAAAAAAAAGTGGTGGATCAGAAACGGAGAGTCTTTTGTCTGGCACTGATGGACAACTTGAAATATATTTTCTGACTTCAGTTCTGACCTAGGGCCACAAGAAGCATTGCTGAAGGAGTTCAAGGATGCATGTGATGCCAGGATGATGAGTCTAGGAGGAGGAATGAGGCCATGCAAGAACCTCCCTCTTGAGCCTTGAGGGAACAAAAAGACAGTTTTGCCCCCCCCCCCCCGCCCCACCTTGATGTGCATTGAGTCATTCTTCTCCTTGAATGTAAGTTTTAGTCTTATGATCAATCCAGATGATGAATGGTTGTTGTGGCCCACAGGGCATTTAAATCCACAAAACACAATAAGACTGGTTGGCCAAACTCTCATGAACCCTCCAGTATCTTTTGTGAGGGTGAAGAGTTGGTCCAGTGTTTTGTGACCAGGATGGTCACAGTGTTGTTCCTCCTGGATCTTTAATTTGATTAATGGGCAGACCCTCCTCCCCTGCATCACAGCATAGACCATCCCAGGAATGCTGAGGAATATGATCCCTCTAAAGTTGGAACACATCCTCTGATTCCCTTTCTTAAACCACAACCCCAGTCTGCGAATCCGAAGGCACTGTCTCCAACCTCCACCCAATCCTGAAGAGGCATGTCAGCCAAAACAGACCAACAACATCAAGAGCTTTCAGGAACTCAGGGTGAATCTCATCCACCCCTGGAAACTTACCATCGAAGAGTTTTTTTAACTACTGTATTGAGCAAAGCCTTAGTGATGGGCAAGTCCTCCTCTGAGTCTTCGGACTGTACTTCATCCAAGGAAGGCGTGTCAGTAAGATTCAGGAGGTCCTTGAATCACTCCTTTCATGTGCATTTATGAACACCCTTATTTTCAAACAAGGTGTTCATTATGAACAAACTGTGCTTAGCACTTATAGAAACTGATGCATGACAACTGACAACTGATGCATGGTTTCTTTGTAATTTGTGTTCAACTTAATACTGTGTTTTGCTGAAAAAAGGCAAAACATTCACCCAAGTAACTGATTCACTTTGTGATAAGTTGATGATAAATTTCACCACCCTGATTGAAATTATTGAGGACTGTAAAAATGGCTCAATATAGTTTGTCAATCCAGTCCTCAGAGATGCCCAGACAGTCCTCATTTTTGTTTCCTCTTAACGCACCAATCATTCAAGCGGTCAGGAACACCAAGTAGCGGGAGCAGTTGTGGTGGGAGCTGGGAGGAAGCAAAAATGTGGATTATCTGGGGGTCCCCAGGGTCTGGGACGAGGAACACTGATATAACATATTATACAGATAGACCGTGGGTAACACGGTCCCCTCACACATCCGGGGTGGGTGCTTGAAATACTGGTCCTGTTCTGTGTGTGGAGTCGCATGTTTTTATGTTGGGTAGGTACTCAAGTTTCCATCCACAGTCTTAAGATATGCAAACTGGTGTCCATAGTGAGGGAACGTGCATTTGTGTGTGTGTGTGTGTGTGCGCATGCACACAGCCATGCACATGCCCTGCGATGAGCTGGACTGGCAGGTATCCCGTTTAGGCTGCTCCCTGCTCCCTAGTATAAGCTCCAGGCCCACAGCCACCCTGAACTGGATGAGTAGCTCAAAGCTGGATGCATGATACTATATAGCATCCTCAGTGACCCTAATCCATCTTGAGTTCCCTTTAATAGAAAAGTTGTATGAAAAATGTGTATGTGTATGTATATAATAGTGTGTGTGTGTGTGTTTGTGTTTGTACCTACGGTCTACATACATCTATATGAAATCTCAGTTCCTGGCTTCCATGCATTATCAGGCCAACTACCAATATAAAACCAGCCCCCCCCCCTCAATTGGTGAAACAAAAGTGACAAATGACTGATGTTTTCATAGAGGTATTTTATTCATTTCAAATCAAAGTGCTTAAGTCTTGTGGCAAACCAATTGTAACATTTGATTAAGAGTATTTTCCCCTGCATACAGTCCTGGGGGGAGTTAATTATCTCAGATCTGTCACTGAGCTACTTCAAGCACTTGTGGCAAAACTTCACTTCTTTTTAAATGGGGCGTCTGTCCACCTGGCTGTTGTTTAGCAGCATGTGCTTGGCAGCCCAGGAAGTACCACTGCACGTCTGCTTTCTTTGGGTGACCTTTACAGCCAGGACACCCTAACGTCACTGTCTTATGTTTTAAAATCAGTTAGCTTGATAGGATTATTAACTACACACACCACAAAGACAAAACATGAATCATCGTTGCACGCGGGTGATCGGAATCGGCAGTGCATGCACCTGGTTCGAGTGCATGTGGTCGTTCGAATGAACAGCACAGTAATGGTGTGGCAGAGGGGATTTGGTTTGCCAAGGAGCCGTTCAGATTCCCTTTGCTTGGGCACTCGGTGCCCGCTGACTGAACGGTTCCTCCAGGCAGGTGCTCTGAATTTGGTATTCTGCTGTTCACTGGGTTTGACAGTCTGTGCCCTGGAGACAAGGAGTGGAACGTATGAGAACTTAGAGTAACCGTGATTGGTCCTTGGTTCAAAACAAGTCTGCAAGGGGAAGAGGCACTTTCGATGCAGCAGTTTAAATGAAGAGGTATGCATTTTTTGTACACACTTTCCAGTTTTCCCTGCACATATTTATAATTTCGTGCTGTAGTGTGTCTCTTTGGCCACTGGGGGGAGCTCATACATCATGTCCTGGAGGGGAACCTCAGATGCCTCCACAGAAGGCACAGGCAAGTGGCCATTCTGAAAAGATAGGGGCGAGGGGGGTGCTTGACAGCAGGACTGCTCCTGACATGTGGCTGACAGGCAGGGGGTGCTACAGAGAGCCTTTTGCTCACACCCCTCCTCAAACTCAGGCTGGATGGTGACGCTGTGTACCCCGGCCTGGTGGAAGACCTTCCGGACTTGCCGGGAGAGCATGTGGAATGTGGACATGTCCGCACACTTGATGTGGAGGGTGGCCACGTTCCGGCCATGAATCAGCTCCCAAACGTGCATCTCGTGGACTCCCCAAACCCCATGGATCTTGGAGATGTCCTCCCCTGGAGGGAGAAGAGAAGATGTGACCAGGCAGGGAGGAAGAGAAATGAGGGAGAGGAAGAAGCAAAAAGGAATGGAAATGGTGAGTTTATATCGATTTCAATTCATCCGTGAATGCTAACAATGTAAATGTATATATCTGTTCCGCTGTATAATTACATGCATGTTTAACACTGATTTTCTATAAAGTACTTCATGTAAATAACATACATTCTGAATTAATTTAACTGCAAATTTGTTCGTGATAAAACCTAGATTTAGCTAAGGATCCTTCTTGGTGCTTCAAGCTTCTGCCCTAAAACTACCACAGACACATTTCAGCTGTATCTTATGTTGTAATTTTTTGTACAATATTGTTCAGCACTAGGCCTCGGTTCCCATTTAATGCACACAAAAACACTAGAATATCAGGACTGGTACCAGTGATACCAAACATGGTATTGGATCAAAAAGAAAATCAGTGGTTTCGCCCATCCCGACAAAGCATTTGCTTTCACTATCATCGCTGTGGAATCTAAAATGTTTACATACAGTGGAAGAAGAATGTCAGTTCACCTTTCTCCTCCACACTCATTTTTAGTTTAATTTCTCACAAACGCACCACATTGTCTATGAGTCCAACAGAAATGATGAAGATCTTGTGTATGGCTCGGAGCGCGCACGCAGAGCTTATGCAAAAGCAGAGGCTGTAAACTTGAAACTGATTTTTAACATACACTAGATAATCATTAAAACTGCAAAGTTTAAGTTCTGTTTGATAAGTGAAAGATTTTTTTTTTGCGTAACTATTGGGTCAGTGTGTGACGGTGAGCCTAGCCTCTGTGCCTGTGATCAGCTGGCCGCCGGTTCGAGCCCGGCCTTGCCTCCTCTCTGGATCCTTGACTAAGGCCCTTAACCCCCAGTTCCTTGGGCGCTTCAGCAGATGGCTGCCCTTCACAGCACGGTACACTTACACAGCACGTTGGGGGAGGCGTAAACAGAGGGCGTTTTTCCACCGCACCAGGTACCGTACTTTCGGTACTTCCATAAAGTGCCGAAAGTTTGGTACTTCTTTCATGTCGGCATTGTTCGGTGTTTCGCGTGTGCCCCATTTCTTCCAAGCGGCTTAGTATTGCGGTGTTCCGGGCAATTCAGTTTCCCTATGTTTCTCCTGTCTATCAGGAAATAATGTTTTCCCTAATATTAAAGCAAAGAGGTATGTGAAATGTCTGAAAATCACTCAGGTACATCAATCTGCACATCCTTATCTTCATCTGAAACTGCCCTTCGTACTCCATAAGCCCCAGCTTCAAGACTCCTATCACTAATAATTATTCAGTATTTGAAGACGATGTAACTGATAACGTGATCACGTACATTATTAGACACAAACCTATATGTCACTTTAGACTAAGTGGCAGAAACTTTTTAACAGCTGCAAAATGAACAAATGATTTAAAAGCCATCATTTTAAGTGACCAAATATGAGAGCATATATTCCAGTTACTGCGGAAAGAGCCGATGGCGATAGTAACACGGTATCACTTACGGATGGCGCTGAGCGGCAAATCTGCGGGGCTCATCTGCAGCAGGATGCTCGTGGTCTCCTTCACCAAGGGCATGGCAGTGGTCATGATAATTACCACCATGAGCAAGGTGAGCAAGGGGTCCAGGTAGCACTGCCAGTTGCACTGCTCATTCTTCTCCAGCGGCAGAACGTAGAACACAGCAGAGGTGACCACCACCACCACGGAGCCTAGAGCATCATTCAGGACATGGAGCAGGACTCCTGCATGTGCAGGGGAGATGGAAAGGGAACAGGCATGGGTTAATGCAAGAGGAGACAGGCACCGTGGCATAGGGAACAGCTCTGAGAGGGGAGGTGGTGGTGCTGAGATGCAGGATTGCTTTATTGGCTTAACGGGAGCCATGCTACTGATGGGTGAACTTTCGCACCTCGGATATTGAGCGGCTGACTCCTTTTTTCCTCTCCCTTCTGGTCGGTGATGCCGTCATGCAGAACCGGGGCACCTGTTTACCAACAAAACAGGCGGTGTGTGTGTATGCGCTCTGCCTAAGAGAGGGCGAGAGACTTAGCGACATGATGCACCGACGGCACCGTTGTTCGGGGAGCTGAATATGCTCATTAACGTGGCCTACGTGTCTATCCAATTCACAAGCACAGCAACAAGTGCACTCACAGTCCCACCACTGCACTAGATGACAATAACCGCTCATAACAAGGCCTCCATAAATGGGAAGAGCCGCATACACAACGCTGAATTATCGCCATGACAACGGCACGTGACACTGCAAAATCACGCGGTCCGACGTCGTTTTTCTAATGTGCTCATTGAAAGGATTTTTAATTTACTCTCCGCCTTGAGAGCAGTCACATGCATGTAAACGACTGAATATTTGGGGATTTAGTTAAGCACAAAGTCATTATAAACGATATATTCAGATAGACATTGGGCAAGTAGGATTTATACTCGTATGTACAGCAATTTCCAGTTATGTTTCCATAGTAACTTGAAATAAAATAGTGCTGTTTTGTAAAATACCATTAAATCCGCGTAGCCTCATTAAAGACTCATCGATTGCATGTCTATTGCAAAGAAACTGAAGTGCATTTTAGAAATACGTTAGTAATATGGACATCTCAGAGCACCTGCTTGGCTTTCCTCGTCTTTCGTTTCGCTTTCTTGCGGTGCCCCTTTACGGCTCCCTTGTCTTCGCCGCCCCTTCCCACGGCGACAGCAGCTGAAGTCTTGGAATATAAACAGGCCTACCACGTTGACTAGCAGACCCAGCGCGCCTACGATCAGCACCAGCATAGGGTTGGAGATTATGTCCGGATCGGCCAGCCCCTGTATGGCTTGAAGTGAAACGGAGAAGCAAAGTGCGGCCAGGAACACGGCGTTGGCCAAGGCGCCAACCACCTCAGCCCTGGGCAGCCCGTAGGTGCTGCGGCCAGACGGGGGTCGGCGTGACAGGCGGGTCGTCGTGAGACCCACGATGAGCGACAGAAGGTCCGACAGCATGTTGTACGCATCCGACACCAGCGCTATAGAGTTTCCCATGTATCCGGCTATAATCTCTGCAAAGAAAAACGCCACCGTGAGAACGATCATGAAAATCAGGCGGCACGTCTTCCCGGTGTAGCGCCCCATTGATGCTGATATAGATGGCTTTTTAACTTGAGTTATCTCAGTGCGTCCTTTTCCCGAGTCTTAGCTTCATCGATCGATAGCGGGAATAATGGATGGATAATGATTCGGATATACGCGCTGTGAAATTCCCGAGTGAAGTCCGGAGTGAACAAAGGTGCCTCGCCCAGTCCGTCTTAGATGCACCGTCACTCTATTTCTCCCTTTACCTCGGTTGCCGGCAACCTGGGATATGACTACGGAGATAGCTGTCGCATTTTCCTTAGAAACTGCCAAGTCATGTTTCGTCAAGGGACTTCAATTTGCGAGTCGCCTAAAAAAAACTACTGACGCCGGCAACAACGCGATCATTCTTGTCGAAATATACATTTTATGATCACCGGTATTACCAGTTCAACCAGTACAGTGACTGCGAGGGTACTCTGATCACGGGTACAAACACCGACCTTTAGTCAGCCTAACTGAACGAAAGTCTTACGAGTGGTTGCGTGATACCAGCTGCATTTATAAGCATTTTGCAATTAGACACGAATGCTTTGTATCTTAATTCATGATACGTTCAAGTTTCAGTAGGATAAATAATTAACGATTAGTGATCTTTGTGGTCTATTAGATTCCTAACAACAAGCCCACCCCTGTATCACGCATCTTGTGAGAGTTAGACTGCTCATTGCTTTTGCGTGTTCATGTCTCTGAAAAGTTAGAAGCCTTTTCGAAAGGGGAGATAGGATGGAGGATCAGAACGTTATTGTACAAAACAAATAGAACTGATAAGTAATATAAAGTGTGTCTGAAATTATAATGCAAATATGATCACTATGGCTCCAATCTGCTGGATCCTTAATTTATATATAGCCTATATATCTTTTGAACAGTTTGACCATATTGTTCAGAAACTATGTAAGTTAAAAAGATTGCCCGAGAGAATAATTTTGGAAGCTCAAAGTTGCTTTGTATGGAAAGTGTTTTGCGATAATATTCAATAAAGAAATATATCTTTTAAAAGATTATTTAAATTAATTTAAATTGTCATTTACAGTGCCCTCTATAATGTTTGGGACAAAAACACATTTTCCTTGATATATCTCTCTGCTCCACGATTTACAATTTCAAACCAAACAACTCAGACGTGATTGAAGTGCACCTTCCAGATTTTAATTAACAGTTATTTGCATACATTTCGGTTTCACCATGCAGAAATTACAACACATTTTAGACAGTTCCAGCAGATACGGGGGATAACGTTTCACCCGCGGATGTACATTTCTATCGTTATTTCATGAGTGGGGCTGAGTAATCTACAGCCGTGGCCAAAAGTTTTGAGAGTGACACAAATATTAATTTTCACAAGGTCTGCTGCCTTATTTTTTATGATGGCAATCTGCATGTGCTGCAGAATGTTATGAAGAGTGATCAGAGGAATTGCAATTAATTGCAAAGTCCCTCTTTGCCATGAAAATGAACTTAATCCCAAAAAACCCATTTCCACTGGATTTCAGCCCTGCCACAAAAGGACCTTCTGCCATTATTTCAGTGATTCTCTCATTAACACAGGTGAGTGTTGATGAGGACAAGGCTGTAGATCACTCTGTCATGCCGATTGAGTTACAATAGCAGACTGGATGCTTTAAAAGGAGGGTGGTGCTTGAAATCATTGTTCTTCCTCTGTTAACCATGGTTACCTGCAAGGAAACACATGCAGTCATCACTGCTTTGCACAGAAATAGCTTCACAGGCAAGGATATTGCTGTTAGTAAGATTGCACCTAAATCAACTGTTTATCGGATCATCAAGAACTTCAAGGAAAGAGGTTCAATTGTTGTGAAGAAGGCTTCAGGGTACACAAGAAAGTCCAGAAAGCATCAGGACCATCTCCTAAAATTGATTTAACTGCGGAATCAGGGCACCACCAGTGCAGAGCTTGCCCAGGAATGGCAGCAGGCAGGAGTGAGTGCATCTGCACGCACAGTGAGGCGAAGACCTTTGGACGATGGCCTGGTGTCAAGAAGGGCAGCAAAGAAGACACTTCTCTCCAAGAAAAACATCAGGGACAGACTGATATTCTGATCAGTCCTGTGTCATGCCAGCGGTAAAGCATCCTGAGACCATTCATGTGTGGGACTGCTTCTCAGCCAAGGGAGAGGAATCACTCACAATTTTGCCTAAGAACACAGCCATGAATAAAGAATGTTACCAAAACATCGTACAGTTTGGTGATGAAAAATGCCTTTTCCAGCATGATGGAGCATCGTGCCATGAGGCAAAAGTGAAAACTAAGTGGCTCGGGGAACAAAACGCAGACATTTTTGGTCAATGGCCAGGAAACTCCCCAGACCTTAATCCTATTGAGAACTTGTGGTCAATCCTCAAGAAGTGGGTGGACAAACAAAAACCCACAAATGCTGATAAACTCCAAGCATTGATTACACAAGAATGGGCTGCTGTCAGTCAGGATTTGGCCCAGAAGTGGATTGACAGCATGCCAGGGCGACTTGCAGAGGTTTTGAAAAAGAAGGACCAAGACTGCAAATATTGATTCTTTTTGCATAAACTTAATGTAATTGTCAATAAAAGCCTTTGAGACTTATGAAAAGCCTGTAATTATACTTCAGTATACCATAGAAAGATCTGACATAAAGATCTACAAACACTGAAGCATCAAACTTTGTGAAAACCAATGCTTGTGTCATTCTCAAAACTTTTGGCCTCAACTGTAGTTATCCTGAAACAACAGACGAAACGCGGTTATTCGTGAGAATTCATTCGGCTAGATGATATCAATCTGCTGTGACTCAGTGTGCAATGTAACTGCAATTGAGCTGTTAGGTTTCTTTTTTTTTTTAGAGCCTGGCCACCGAGATTGATGGGTGACTGACAATTTTAATGGTTGCTGGTGTCATTTAAATGACATATTTATGAACAATTTAAATGACAATTAATTTTAAAAATAATTTAAATTATATATTTATTTAATATTGTCACGAAACACCAATTTAAGCTATTCAAATGAATATTAAAAACAAAAATGCTAACATGGCTGATATTATGCAAGGGGTGTTTTATTGCCTAAATGGGTAAAATTGTGAAACCATATCCTCCTGAGAACCAAAGAAAAAAAGTGTCCTTCAGTTTTAGGTTAATTGTGATTTTCTATGTCTTTGGAGGAAATAAGACATATTTTTTTCAAATTAATTTTTGTTTTTTAATTTCACAGCATGTCCTCTTTAGTGGACAACAGGAATAAATATGTTTCCTTACATCAGTGAAAAGAGATGCAAAAACAAAATGTCCACTCCAATGGACATAAATGAATGGGTGGGGTGTCAGGAGGTTACGCAAAATTTATAAATAGCAGCTCAATTTATTAAAAGTCTTTACTCGGGAACAAGACACACAGAGGCAAGTCTCTTAGGGTTCTGAGAAGTCGCAAAATCTAGCAGCAAAGTCGCTCATTTGGCAACACTCGGGAGGATTTGGTTGTATCAAGCTGACGTCATTGTCAAAGTGAGCATAGATGAAAATGAGGCGGTGGCCGTTTTACTGGGGAACGATGATCATGGCTGTCGTTTAGCTCTAGTAGCAACAGCAAGAAAAACCCAAATCTTAGTTTATTTTGTTTGCCCTCTTCGTAAAAATCACGGCAAAGAAACCAAAGAACTAACAGAAAGGGGACGGAGAACTTGGCTAAATGCCATCAATCGAAAGAACTTGGAGGGCGTGCGTTGCGTGTTCTGAGAATTTCCTTACAGGAAAAGATGGGCAGCATGTCAATTAAATGTATTTATGTTTGTTTACGTTTTAGTGTTTTGTAATTTATATTTTGCCTGTTGGAAAAGAATCAGTTGAAATTTGTAATAAAATACTTTGAGAGATTGTATTTTATGTATTTAAAATCCTTACTTAAATATATCATTAAAAAAAAAATTCTGTCATTTTAAGAACCTTCATCACCAGGCTTACAGATTTTTAAATGTATGGAAAGAAGCTGCTTTGGTGATTGGTGCAGACAGCAGACTGTGATCAGTGATCAGACTACAGACTGTATCGCTGCTTTTATTCCACAGTTCAGTGGTCTCTGCGTAATGTGTAAAGTCCTTGAATTCTCCAGTTTTGTTTTACCATCAGCCGATAATTGCCCCATTTTCACTTTCTAACTGGCTGACAAGTCTTTCTTTTTACCCATTTTGGTTTTTAAACACATATTTACAGCTTTACTTCTTGTATTGTGTGATTTTTCAACCTGTGTAATATCATTACAGGGGTGGGTTTCTTATGAGTTTGCAGGAAACAGCAGACAGAGGTCACACAATGCTGTATAACAGGCACCAACAAAGCTAGTATATTGTCCTTGGTATAGGATAAGCAGTGACTCATTTTGTCTACTTGTTCTTAAGATATTTAAATTTATTACAGTTGCATGATAATTTCAGACACACTGTTGAAAACCATAAAAGAATGCTTTTTTTTTGCATTGTTACACTCTGTGACCCCACTGTATTGCTGGCAATGAAAGCACAGGGCATCAGAACACATACTCATAAAATCTGAGTAATTATCAGGCGTTGAACCGGCTGTCTCTCACACCCTATCAAAAGGCAGATCAAAGAGCAAAAGTGTCACAAACTGAGATTTAGTCATTTGTTGGCTACATTGTGGTCTGTATAAATTGTCAAAATTGAAAGAAATTATTATATACAGTATTGTGCAAAAGTCTTAAGCTATTCATCTTGGTAGTAATTGCATACTTTGTCAGAAAAAAAACACAATTTAACATTATAACGTATGCAAATTAACAAAAAATAAACAAGAATTTCATCCGTTCTCCAAAAAGTTACTGATACCTTGTTGGATGGCTGAACAAACTTTGGTTCCCAAACCTCTCCTCAGGGGCACCTCAGCCATTCTATGCATTCATTAAATTTCTCCATCTGCTCTATTAATTCATGAATTTGACTTGTTAAATAACTGAATGGGATATTGAGTAGCCAAACATGATGGGGTAGTGGACGGTGGCAACAGATACTGTGGTGATTTTAGGAGACGTCTTGAACCGGCTAAGCTGATCTACATCGACACCAACATGAGATCAATTAGACTTCATTTTCTGTGATTGCGTAAGACTTTTGCACTGTACTGTATAAACTCTTAATCATCTAATCATAAGTATTTGTTTACAGAGTGTAAAGTAAGCAGACACTAAGGTTGGATGACAGGTTGGATACAAGCAACAGGAATGAGTTTTCTTCCTGCAGTGATCAGGCTCAGCCTAATAGATAGGTTGAGGAGCTCAGACATTCAGTAGAGGCTAATTTCCCATTCTTAATACATTGGCTTTAACCCTTTCAGGCTCAAATTAAGTTTTAGTAACAGGACAGGACAAAGTCCTGCAGTGGTACTTCTGAGTAAAAAAAACTCATAAAATATGTATGTGGGGTAATAAGGTAGTTAGTTTTTAACTGTTGCAAATCAGCAACGCCTGCCTTGAGAGGGTTAATATGGAGTTGACTCACCCTTTGCAGCTATAACAGCTTCAGCTCTTCTGGGAAGGCTGTCCACAAGGTTTAGGAGTGTGTTTATGTGAATTTTTGACCATTCTTCCATGAGAGCATTTGTGAGGTCAGGCACTGATGTTGGATGAGAAGGCCTGGCTCGCAATCTCTGCTCTAATTCATCAGGTTGAGGTCAGGGCTCTGTGCAGGCCAGTGAAGTTCCTCCACACCAGACTCGCTCATCCTTGTCCTTATGGACCTTGCTTTGTGCACTGGTGTGCAGTCATGTTGGAACAGGAAGGGGCCATCCCCAAACTTCTCCCACAAAGTTGGGAGCATGAAATTGTCCAAAATTTCTTTGAATGCTGCAGCATTAAGAGTTCCTTTCACTGGAACTTATGGGCCAACCCCAACCCCTGAAAAACAGCCCCACACCATAACCCCCCTCCACTAAACTCCACAATGCAGTCAGGCAAGTACCGTTCTCACGGTAACCGCCAAAACCCAGACTCGTCCATCGGATTGCCAGACAGAGAAGCTTGATTCGTCACTCCAGAGAACATGTTTCCACTGCTCTAGAGTCCAGTGGCGGCATGCTTTACACCACTGCATCCGACGCTTTACATTGCACTTACTCGCCCATGGAAACCCATTCCATGACGTTCTCTACGCACTGATCATGAGTTAATCTGATGGCCACACGAAGTTTGGTGGTCTGTAGCTGTTGATTCTCCAGACAGTTGGCGACATCTGCACACTGTGCACCTCAGCATACGTTGTCCCCACTCTGATTTTACGTGGCCAACCACTTTGTGGCCAAGTTGCTGTTGTTCCCAATTGCTTCCAGTTTGTTATAATACCACTAACAGTGGACCATGCAATATTTAGTAGTGAGGAAATTTCACGAATGGACTAATTGCACAGGTGGCATCCTATCACGGTACCACGCTTGAGTTCACTGAGCTCCTGAGAGAGACCCATTCTTTCGCAAATGTTTGTAGAAGCAGTCTGCATGCCTTGGTGCTTGATTTTATACACCTGTTGCTAAGGAAGTGATTGGAACACCTGAATTCAATGATTTGGAGGGGTGTCCCAATACTTTTGGCAATACAGTGTATGATAGTGTTGTTTGTATTTTCAGCATGAGTTTTTAAATTACCCATGAAAGACGTGGGATCTTTGTTCCAGTGGGTCAGCATTTAATGTTGTGTTGATGATGATTTATTTTTTACCTGTCAGCATAAGACTACTTTGCTTATGCCTCTGAGATGCAGATTGTATATCTGATGCACTATGCAGATTCCATGCAGGTGCTACTAGTATGATATTGGCAGAAGCTCATTCGGATATACGGTATATTCAGTACAATTCAACTTTATTTATAAGTGCATTTTTTACAATATTACAATGTCTCAAAGCCCTTTACATTGCTCCTGCCCAGTGCACCCAGAGAACAAGCATAAGGAGGATCGAGACTGGGGGGGTATCCTCCAGGGGCCAGCAGAGGAAGTTGGGTAAATGAAAACCTAACGTGTACTAATCCATAATGGTATTAGTCATGTTACTTTTCATTTAAAAACACCTTTATATATAACTGTTTCCAATGTCACAATGTGCATATAGTTATGGCTGTAAGGTTCCAGCCCACCAAAACACACACACGCACAGTGAAAAAACTGCCATTCAATGGCTGATAAGAGTTATGGTGTCTGGCAATTGCAATGTTACTGTTGTGGCCTGTTTAATAGATTTTCAATTTAAGACTTTACAGCGCTTTCTATTGAAGTTTGCACTCAGATAAGACAAACTACAAAAAAAAAAACCTAGGCCATGTGCATTTATTGCCCTTAGTCATACCTCAAAGTTTGAGTGTGCGGAGTACAAAAGTGATCCCAATCAAAAGGTTTAATTACTTTAAGGAGTTGTTCAGTAATAAAATACGCGCTTAACAAATCTTGTCACTAACCTCTGTCGCCATCTGCTGGATACATTTTTAACTGTGAGATTTAAAGCCAAATATTAAGTATGCGGAGCAGACGAAAAGTGGTTGTTTTGCAGTAATTTGAATATGGTGAAGACTTGCATTATTTTCCACTGTAGGAAAATACTATCTGTTCAACCACAAGAGACAGGCCAGTTGCCGTAAAACAGTGACTGTGATCAGGATTCATGACACAGATGGAATATGAAACACTCGGGTGATAAAGACAAAAATTAAACAAGGCGACTTTCTCACCAGTCTCCTTCGAGAAGAAAACACCCCTTTAAAACATTTATATAAATACAAAAGTCCCTAGAGAAATTGGATCTGGTGAAGTCAGTCTGCCAATCCTAGGATTTGAACCTTCACTTTTTTTAATCACAGCCCTGCTAACCCACAAACCACAAACATTTTCATTTTGGAGAACTGCAATTCATTAAAAAGAAATCCCGTTTTTATGAGGATGCTGTCATTTACAAATGCACTTACTGCGGAAGCAAAAGCTGTGTATAGAGGGAACAGGGGCAAGATTTGTTGGCTCACCAGTTAACTTGCTGGAATTAAGGTATCTCAGTATAAATGGACCTCATCTTTGTTCACTAACATTTAGCCCAGAGTCACGTGTCAGATTTAAGTTATCATGCTAACCCAAAAATCCAACTGTGATTGAGGTCCCAGGAGTCACTTCACTTCTGCGTTTGAAAACAGTGACAGACACACAAACATTATGAAACCTTTGAAATGTCATCAGTGCACCCAGTGTGGGGAGATGCAGAGTCTCAAAGTATAGACTGATTTCATTCTACTGGACCATGTGCAGTTTCCTGCCCTTTCTCATACAGGACCATGGAGCACGACCATGCAAAACATAAATCCAAGGCACCTGCTGTTTTTTAGGCATAACTATTCAATTTATTGATAAAATCACTACAGAACAAAACTTGGCAAAGAAAAAAAGATTTGATTTATATTCAAGGAAAAATAATCACAATTATTAAAATAAGGTAATACGAATTACTTGTGTCCACAGCAGTAGGATGGGCTGTGTGAAGTGAGCACACTGCATTCAGAGGATGAGCTAGAGGCCCCGTGCGCAATCCAAACGTGATCGGGAGACTAATGGCAAAGACCTGCCCTCCAAACCCACAGGCGTGCCACAGCTGTTATCTTACTGGGAAGGCTGGTCCCAGTCATGTGCGGGCACCGGTGCCATGCTGCTGAAATGCATCTCTCAGACAGACCCTCATGGAAAAGACAAACTTTCCAATGCTGGTTAAGCGGGAGTAAGAGGAACAGGAAGGACTTCAGTACCAGTTTCTGCACACAATGGCTTTAAAGGGATAATCCGTTCACTCAGTGAAGTGAAGACTAAGTTAGAACGTTCTCTTTTCAAAACTTTTACATTTCTAGGGAATTTGAACTGAATTATCTGACAAACAGAACCTTTCTTTTTCTGAAAGACAGTGGGCCACATGCGATGTGCTATGTGCTCCAGCGTGCAGCCTCATGCAGGCTATGCATGTGGGTCCAGCCTTGTAATTCCAGGAGTAAACAGAAAAGCTGCTCTTTCACACATCCTTGTAAATGTGACCTTGTCACCAAAGCCCTTTCAAACACATCTTACACTTTCAGCATCGAAACAGCATCACAATGCACAACATGACCTTGAATCGAAAGGTGGTAAGAATAAGATTGGTTCATAATCACCACAGCACTGAGGGCAATAACTACGGGGGGGGGAACAAAGGCCAAAATGAAGACAAAACAGCCAACTGAATCACCCGTGCCTCACTTCATCATACTGTCTACGAGAGGCTGTAGAACAGAGTAAGTGTAAACGCAGTGTCGATGTCATACAAAAACAGCAGGGCACCAGTGCAGATCGATGTGCAAGTCATGTTCTCTTATCTGCCAAGAGCATCTTGTGACCTTGAGTGCATGTGCATGCTGTGCATATAACCAGTTCCGCAGGGGTGGCCTGAGTGCCCATGAGCCTGTCTGGTAATGGTGTACCGGACACACACGCAGGTACAGCGTGCTGGTGCTTGTATGCATGTAAGAGAGCGGCTAGGCTGGGGCCAGTCTGAGTCTCTGGTTGGCCAGAAGATGGTGGGAGGGGAGGGGAGAGGCAGCAGGATACTGCAGTGAGGCTGGGGCAACTGAGCTAAGTGGCAGTGATTTCTGAGAGTGTGAGGGTTGCTTCGGTGATGACGGTGGGTAGGGGGTAGGGGGGTCAAACTCAGGAATTGTCAGAAGGGACGTGCTCCTCGAAGCCCTCGCTCTCCCGGACCAGCGCCCTCTCCAGAATGACACGGCCTTCCTTGTAGCGCTGGCTGTCCTCTGTGGCAAACTCATAGATCCAGCCCAGCTTGCTGTTGCAATTCTTGCAACTGACGTCACGCACCATGTGCCGGCCTGTCAGCATGACACGGTCCTGCACCTCGCTGTACTGCAGGTTCACCACCTGGGGGCGACAGCCAGCCATTTATTTTCACACACCTCATCCTCAATCAATTCTATTTGGTATCTGACTTAATCCTGATACACCAAAAAGGAACATGCAATACAAAATATTACACCAATAAAGCACATTGGCTGAAGGTCAACGAAGGCCCAGAGTTATCCACCCCAACAGTGTCTCCCTGAAAAGCATCCTTATTAAGATGGCAGGAGTGTTGTGGTTAGGAACAAAGCCTCGTAACATGAACAGGCTACAGTCATGTCACATAGCCTAGTACTTTACCCCAGAGCAAGGTACTGAACAATCAATTCAGCAATAATTCCAGATTTTTTCAAGAGTACTAAAATTATAAGGTGCTTTGGACAAATAACTAAATAATACAGTTATGACTTTCAGTTCTCTCCCTATGCAAGGTTTATTGTGCCAAAGCGTGATGTGCCCACAGGTAGCCCAGTCTATCAGGTTGATGTATCAAATGCCCGTGTGAACGGCTTCTGTCAAGGCAGTGATGTGGGCAATGCTCTCCAGTGACAGGTAGAAGGTAAATCGGCCTTTGCCTTGTTAAAGAGGAAGGCGCGGCCCGTGGCTCCAGTGAAGCGTGTGGAGATGAGCTCAGATCGGTTGGTCAGGATCATGTCGCAGTTGGCACAGGAGAAGAGGCGTGTTCCGCCGATGTGGTCCAAGAAGATCCGCCCCATTGCTTTCTGTTTGGCCCGGATGTCCCTGGGAAAGAGCAGCAGGATCAGCATACAGAGGACACTGGCATCAGGGACAATAGCACGTCACCGTGGTGAGTAACGCGGCTGCTTTTTTAGTCTGAGGATGTACTGAATTGTGCCATTTCCTGTTTTTGACAGGCCACCCAGCCTCATGTGGACTGAAACCAAGAGGCATAACCGTGCAGATAAATTGCCACTGGTTATTATCATTCTGCCTTAGTCTAGTCTACTTTCTGATTACAACATTGTCTCTTATATGTGCACACAGTACCTGCCAACCAGACAGAGCACAGAATGTACTGGACATATAGTTATGGCTAAAGCCTGCCTGCTTTCTTGATTTGTCCACTGACAACATGCACTGTTACTGTGGCCAGTCTAGTAACACAGCACACCCGTTGACTATGGAGCAGCACGCTGTACGTTGACATGGTGCTAATCATTGTACTGCAGTGGCTGCAGTTTTGAATAAGGCCTAACTATGTGTGTGTATGCCACTCTTGCCTTATCATGCTCTGAAAACACCCCACCGCTGCTGCAGTCTACAGGCTGCAGATATCCATTCGCAATGCTTCAGTAAAGGGAGAAAGAGAGAAACACACAGGCACAGAGAGCAACGGATGGGGAATTAGGGTGCTCACCCACACAGCAGGCCACACCATACACAAGGAGGACCAAAGAAACATATGGGCCAGAAATAGCAAGGCAGCCAGCCAAAGTCGCATTTCCAGATGAAATGCCAAAATGTGCTGCCTGTGCGAGATGCGGCCAGATGGGGGCGATGACTCACTGGACTGTATATCCAGCCAGGGAGACCGGAACAAAGAGCTCTGACAGCCTCCCACCCTCCCAGGCATACCGCTCCTGCACCACCAATAATGTCAAGAGATGCCTCCATTCTATTAACAAATGGAGACTGAACATTAAACTTGAGCATCTTGTGAATAGACCAGAATAATTTCCAACCATAAACAAGTGAAACTTGCATATCAGTTTCTTTCACCTACGATGCACCCACTGACCATGGTGGCCAAATCCCAGACAATGGCGCCCAACCGCCCTGCTGCTGCTTATCTCCACACAGGATTTATTAATAGCTTCAGTGATGCTATTATTACCTTGGCGACTGCAGCTGAAACCGTCTTGCTCTCAGACAGCTGCACAGGGTACTTTTACTGGGCTACACTGCTGTACATGCCCTGGCGAACACTGGCATATGGCATCCACATGAATGACGGCGATGTCACACCGCAGTGTCTGGGGCTGTTTACCTTCAGAGAACAATGTGTCATGCATGTGTGACTATTACTGCACGGCAAGTATGACAGCGATATGGGACAGAGCCCAGTTGTAGCTTTAAGGAACATGTACTGAGTCCGAGACCTACAGTACGATGACGTCATGGTGACAGTATACCGGCACTGGTAATGGAAGTGCTGCCAAATCAAGCTGCGTGTGTTTCTAACACTGTAGCTTGAGCTACAGGCCTTAGGCAGCACCACAGGGCATGCACCTGGTGTGGAAGCCACGCTGGCTTCACAATCATTTCACAACCTAACACTCATCCCCATTGCCAGAGATGACAAGGAAATTCCTCCGTGATATAAAAAAAACAGTGGTAGTGTACATTATTAAAACAGTCCACTAGATAAAAATAGTCACATTAAGCAAATTAAAATTAAGGAAGCTGAAATTATGGTATCGGTGGGGAAAAGGCAGTAATACTCAGGAATTGAACAGAAGCACATCTGTCCTAACAGAATACATCCTATTTTCGAAACATTTGGGCTACATTGTGAATGTATGAATCCTAAAAAACGCCGAAAGGTCACCGTCTGCATTTAAAGGGCTTGTTAGAAAACAAGGGCACTCGCCTTCACGACTGCGCCAGAACTGCGGAGCCCTCGGCGGACGAGCTGAAAACGGCCAAAAGTTTACATCGCCTTCACCAATACACAGCAGGACTGTAGTACATTAATAACCCAATATATCGATAACCTTGTCAAGTCGTGGAGCCAGCCGACCGGAGCCAAAACAGCAGCGTGGTTCGCGTCCATTTAGAAACACTAGGTCTAGGTCACGTTGTTCCCGGACAAATATGAATATAACTAAATTCCAGTTAATTGGGAAACTCGCATCATTCAGCTGGGTCAACGATTACACAACCATACGGTCTTGATGCCAAAAGAAAATGTGCATTCGAAGAGAGCAAAAATGCGACCGAGGCAGTTTAAGTCGAACTTAGTTGTCGAAGTATAGTTGTGTCGAAAGGCACCGATCTGGTTGCACACATTCCGTGTTAAAGTAGCGCACAATCGGATTAAATGAACGACGCGAACACGACATCCAGTTTCTGCAGTTCCCGAAACCAGAAACAGGTTCGCATGCACCGAGCAGGACTGAGATGCGTCACGAAAATGAGTTTTTCCCGTTTTTAGATTGTTGCCAAATCAGACTTGATCAATGCGGCGAGTTATTGCGGTAACTTGCTGACAGTCAGCACGCGATTGGCAGCCGCGAGCTCGAGACACCCAACGGCCGTCGGAAGGGGAAACTGAGCTCCGACGACCAGCTCTCAAAAGTTACCGACAGGACAGAAAGTATGCGCTCTGGCACCAATAAGCAAGCTGTAATTCCCACTCTGGCCGTGAGAAGTACCTACAGAAAAGCCTTTCCTCTTTATACCTTTACTCCAAAGATAAACGCGCTACTGTTGACACACAAGCAGGCAGACCCGCGCCTTTCACTCTCACCTCTCCGTCTGATTTTTAAGGGGGGATTCTCTGCTTTTATGCTTTATTTCTCGCCGGGGTTTGGCACGTTCGAGTATTTGTTTCTCTTCGGCAAACACCGCCGTTCGCGACGTGTCCCCTGACTCTCGCTTTTTTTTCCGCTTATCAGCGTAGCTCCCGCTTTGTTGTTCTCTCTCAGCTGTTCCCGCAGCCTCTATATCAACATCCGGTCCGGCGACGTGGCCACGCCTCTGCGATCAGCTGACGGGCGTAGGCGGGGCCACACGAGGCGGCCGCTGCACGCTGAAAGTACAGTAGGTTTAGAAAGTGCTTGTTGTGCCTGATTTCCGCGCGCATATTATCTCTAGTTAAGGAGGACGACTGCAGTGTGATTAAGAATCAGAATGGCATTGAATTTAATGACCCGATGATCGTACACGTGTCACGACATGCCCAGGCGTTAAGGCGGGGAAGGAAAATGCCGGGCGACATGGTGGAAAATCTTTGACAAATGTATAATTTTACTGATGTGAACAGGGCTGACATTAGATAGGTTAATGCGTCATGATGTTATGCTGAGAATGGTAATGTAAATGGTATGCGCATTATATATTCTTCTCTTTACCACTGTGGACAATTTGAATAATAATAATAAAAACGTCCCCTCCATGGCTCCTTAAGTCCTTGTTAAGCGGTTCGCTAATAATTTGTGCTAGAAATACCGCTGGTCCCATTTCATGTAACCACCACTGCCAAATTTGTGCAGCTCTACAATAATCCTTATTGATTTTGACTCAAACATATTATTGATTGACAATATAAATTATTTAGCCAATATCTTAAAGTGTCACTCGCTCATTTGACTGCAGTAGCTTGTTCTATGCCTGTATAGTTATCTGAACAAACTGAACTTCTTTCCAGGTGGGGAAAAGGGAGAAATACAGGAGGATCATATGCATATTTTAAACATTGCAGTGGTCCTTAGTAAATAATACTGGATGTTATTTTTTTGGAATAGCGATGAATGTTACCAATGCAGATTGCACAGATAATGTGAACACTTACAGGTCAATGGCCTGAAGGTGGCACGAGACCTTCCTTCAACTGTATCACCCATCTGTGAAAGTGGAGCTTTTTTTTTTTTACCTCAGGAGCCAGAGAACGATGAACTTGTAACCTTTGGCCCCTTGGAACCATTCTCTTTTTTGTCAGTATGTTATCCATATTTTTTCTCTGTTACGGTAGCCAGATTATACTTACACTAATATTATGGATAATATTGTACTGGATGACATTCTTCCCTCTATCCCAAAATGCCAAAGGTACCAAAAGTTAAGGTCAAGTTATAATACCCATTATTTTACTTTTGAATATAGAACTTTATAGATCCTAGAAACAAACAGTTGCTGACCCTGGTTGAAAATTCATGTTAATCTTGTCCTATCTGATCTCAACCCCTGATCTCATCAGATGAGAGGAGATACTCTGTGGGCTTGATGTTTTTATGAAGGCATCATAAAGCATTTCGCACGGACTTGTGGTTTGTATGTCACTTCCCAACATGCTGACGTGATTCTAAATGAGGGATGGTATGTCTTAGCTTGATGCAGGGTTCCCCATTGTCACCCAGACACTCGGCCTCTTCTGCCCTCAGCCAGGACAGTACCACCTAGGATGGTACAACAAGCCCTACAGAACAGAGTAAATGAGTACCGATGGACTCTCCTAATGTTGAGAAGGAAGGGACCATGGGAGTGAGATCATAACCTTTTTTTCTAACAAAAACCAGATTAAAACTGGATGGAATGAGGAAAATGCTTAAACATTAAATATAGATATCTTAAAATTTATTGACATTGGAGTAGCTATTGTGAGGCCTTGGGAAAAGAACAACTACAAAGACTTTAAAGGTTTGTGAATGTCACATTTATGCTCCATGTGGAGATACTGGTTGACATTGTTTGAATGGGTATTTATTCATGAGATTTTATCTTACTTTTTATAAACAATCAGGGAAACATACTAATGGACTCGCTTCACTATGGTATAATTTGGTACAATAACACCAACATAAATAGATGTAATAAACTTGCTGCAGACCAACCTTTGTGCGTTTACTTAACTTTTAAAAGTTAATATGTTTCTGGGGCTGAACTGACATTATAATATATATTCATCGTTTATGTTTGGAAGGTAAGTTTATGAAAAATAACTTTAAATTCCCTGAGATGACACTTGTGATGTTCTCTGGCCCCGTGCCAGGGACAGATTTGAGCCCCACCACCCTCCCCACCTGAACCACGATAAGCAGTTGGAAGATGGATGGATGGATGGAAAATTGTAATGTCATTCTATGAGAAACTTTAACACTCAGTAAAATATAAATATACATATGCAATGAGGTAGCCGCGATCTTTACAGTTTTAGGGGAAAAGACTCCGCCTCTTCTACACCCCTTGCATATACATGCTGCAGACAAAAAGGAAGGTGGGGAGAGCAGTGCTGGCAGGTGAGGGTGCAGACCGATGGATTAGGAGACTTCCAGCAGGGCAGTGCATGCAGACTGAATCCAGTTAACCTAATCCGAGGACCCCGGTGATATTTTTTGGACGAGCAAGCTCTTTGCCAGTGATCATGGGTGTGTACGGACGGACACGGCTCAGGTTCCTTACCCTGGCCCTGCTGTGGCTTCTACCTGCCATCACAGGTACCCACAAACCCGTCCTGCCTGTGTCATTACCTCATAAGGGAGTAATACCTCGCTTTAACAAATTTAATGAAATGATCCTTCTTTTGCCATTTGCACAAGTACACTGGGATACTTCTTTTCTGTATGTCTTGCTCTCCTTTGAAACTCACACACACACACACACACGCTTATAGTGAAGGGGCAGGCACTTTATGTTGCACCCCTACTGCAAAGGATGTGTTAGTTTGGTTAGATAACAGATGGATCTTAATATCTGATTTCTAAAATATTGCAGCTACTTGATATTCTCAGTATTTTTTTCGCTAATTTGCAATGGAATACTAAGTTTATTCTGCCTCATTTGGTGGAACATAGAACCATATTCCAAACAGGATTTTGAAGCTATACATTACGTACAGTACTGTGCAAAAGTCTTAGGCAGTCAAAGAGAATGTTTAAGGCTATATATTGGTAGTAATTGCATGTTAGCTCAGAAACAACACAATTTAAACACAATTTAACATTATAACATAAGCAAATTAACAGTAACATAATAAAAAATAAAGAAGCATTTTGTCTGTTTTCCAAAAATGCACTGATATCTTGTTGGATGGCTGGACGAACTGTACTTAGTTTCCTAAATCTCTCCTTAGGGGCACCTCAGCCATTTTATATATTTGTTAAATTTCTCCCCCAGCTCAAATAAATAATTTACTTGATTTGTTAACTCAATGGGGTATTGATTAACTTGACAAGATGGGGTAGTAGTTGAGTCAAAAAATACATGGGTGTATTGGATGGTTGCTGCAAATTCTGTGGTAATTCTAGGAGAGGTTTTGAAATGGCCAATCTGTCACTTTGGCGGACATAATAAGTCTTACATCAACACAAAGATTATTCAAACATAATTTTTTGTGACTGCTTAAGACTGTGAAACAGTACTGTATATGTGTCAAAAATTCACAGGATTCGTATATACTCAAAGTCCAAGCACGCAGAGATGCCAAGGATTGTTGTTTTGGGAACAGCAAAAAAAGAGGAACTTAAGAGGAAGATGCACGCTACACTGGTCACTGAGTATTTGTATATGCACTGTAGATGGTTCTTTCTCCTCCACTCATCTTTTACATTCTCTCTAGCTTCTTCCCCACAATCAGCGACTGGAGAGACTAATCACCTCTCAGCATGGGAGACTGAGGAGGTGAGGTCATGGCCACACCTTGCCTGTGCATACAAAAACATTTACATTCATGTTTCTATGGTAGACTTTAATGTCCATGTGCCTCTGCTTGTTTCTGTATGTCTCTTCTTCACTGTGTGTTTGGTCTTCCCCAGTACATCTCTCCCTGTGTAAATGTCTTTGTATACTGCTTGTATGTGAAAATCCGTCTTGTGTGTGACTGTTTGCCTGTGTATTTGTGTGTGTAATTATATCTTCATTCTCTAACAGACAGACAGCTTGCTGGCCCTGCTCTGTGCCCAACCTGCCCCCTCCCTCTCCCCACCATCCTCCGGTAGGTCTCGCCAGCACACAGGCATTATGCGTTGATTAGCCAATTAGAAATAAGTACCAATCCCCAAATGGCTGGATCCACCTTTATGATGCTGTGCTGCACATTATCTCTTACTGTATGCCTACCTGTCTGCCTGCCATCTAGGTTGTATCTGTTTTATCAGTGCCATTTATCACAGGCATAGAGAATTACACTCTGCAGGATTTCAGTCTCTACAGGTTTATGACGTTTAATCAGCAGCCACCATTTATCACTGCAGTATAAAGAAAGGTTATGACCTCCAGGTGGCCTTGGGGCCTGGCCTTCCTCATCTTTGGATCACTACCTTTTGAAAAGATCCCACAGAGCCATGCCCAGCGCTGGTACTATTTACTGCTCTCACTCTCTCTCTGTGCCTGCACCCCCTCCCCCCACCCAGCCCATGCCGTGAGACCCTCAGATGTCACTGTCTTGTCCGCCATCGGGCTCCCAAGCTCAAGCAGGTAGACTGACCTTTGGCTTGTTCACTTCAGGCATTCTCCTCAGATCTTCACTACAGGCATTCTTCTTAGGCGTTTTCTTTGAATGTTCTCAGGTGTTCTCCTTGAGTGTTTTCATCAGGTGATTGGCTCAAGTTGGCTCCTTGGGTATTCTCCTCAGGCGCTGTCCTTGGGTGTTTGCCTCAGGTGTTCTCCTTGGCTGTTTGCTTCAGGTGTTCTCCTTAGGCATTCTTCTTGGATGTTCCCCTTGGGTGTTCTTCTCATTTGTTCTTCTTGGGTGTTCTTCTCATGTGTTCTTCTTGGGTGTTTGCCTCAAGTGTTCTCTTTAGGCGTGACTGGAATCTTTCTGGAAGGAGAGCACTGAGCCCCCGCTGAACATTCACAGTGCAAACCAGACCAAATTGTTTCTGCTTGTGGCTTCATCCTTCTCTTGTGTTCTAGGTTCAAGAATTAAGTTGTAATAAAATTTGACCAAATAAATAAATAAAATGAACACTTTAAGTGTTCATAGTCACCAATCACTAACAATACTATTTTAATTATTTTGCCTGTTAATATTTTTATCTCTCTCTGTAGGAGTGAGGTGCTCACAGTCCTGAAAAGATTATCTGGTATGTCCTCCATGCCATCTGTCTGTGACCATGGAATAATTCATCTCAGAGTGAAATGATCACTGCTTTTATACTTCCTGATCTTTACAGGTACATTAGATATTTTTAGATATCCTCCTGAGACCCAAGGAAAAAAGTGTCCTTCAATTGTAGGTTATTTGTCTTTGGAGGAAATAAGACATCTTGCAATTT